AGATGAATTTTACCACAATCTACACGACCTTGCGTAAAGCGACCCGGGCTGCTATCGTGGTTTTAGCAGGAAATATAAATGTTAGAGTAGGTTGACTGATTTCGAATGAGGCACATCTTGGTGGTCCTTTCGGACTAGATTCCTGTCGCTCGGAAAACGGGGAGCGCCTGTTCCTCTCCAGTACGAACTTCCAACGCTCCAACTGCCGGTCTGCCACTTAGCGTCCGCCCTGCTGGAGTCAGAGACGGATGCAGGTCGACCACCTCGGGATAAACCACAAATGGCGGGGGTGTATTCAAGACTGCCGATCGTACTGGACAGATCCCCTCAAAACCGACCACGCATTAATAAGTGCTAAGCTGTCCATGTACTTCGGTGGGTGTCCCAAACGCACGACACACCGACCAACCCCACCCGATGACGTTAACCAGCATTGGTCGCTTATCTAGAATGCTCTGCATTTTGCTAGCTTAGTTAATTGTGATGTGGCACGTCGCGCCATAACAACCTGGGCCTCTGCGGAGTCCCTACGCATTCCTGTCGCACGTCGATCTATCCCGACCGGCAGCGAGCATAATGAAATACGACTCGTAACGAGACGTGAACATAATGCAAGCCTACGCAAAGACGCAAGATTTGGTGGTCTCAACGCGCGCCAGAGATGGACCGTGCCATGAGTAATTCCCGCAAGTTGTTCCATCTCATCCGGGTCACCAATAGTAAACCCTTGGGTTTAAAACGGTCTTCGAAGCTGACGGTTCGTCTATTCATAAGCAACAGCGACGTTTTGCACGCTGGGTGGAGCACCTCAAAACACAACTTGGCAGGCCACCAGCGTCAGCTTCTCACACAGCTATTCTGGCAAACGTCCCCATGGTCTGTCACAACAGACCCACCTTCTGAGGCGGAAATCCGTAAAGAGCTCCAAGCCTTGGGACGTCACAAAGCGCCGGGCTCCGATGGCCTTCTCCCAGCTTTATTTAAAGATGGTGGAATAAAGCTTGTTAGATAACAATAAGTTATGTTCTCTAAAGTTTGGAACACCGAGCAGGTCCTCTCCTCATGGGGAAATCGATTGTTGTCCCCATCTTTAAAAAGGGCCCGCGCAATGACTGCGTCAATCACAAGAGTATAAACCTTATCCCAATAGCGTCAAAGCTGTTCCCGTCCGTCATTCTCTACCGATAGTGCAATATGCGTGAGGAGAAGACTCGCGAAGAGCAGTCAGGGTTTCGCGCTGGTCTTCGATGCATCGATCAAATCTTCTCGCTCCGATAACTGCTAGAACACCGTCATGTCTATCAAAGACCAACGATGATTGTATTCTTAAACATCCGCGCGGCCTTCGACTCTGTCGATAGAACCGCACTGTAGAAGTGTTTGTATAGGAATGAAGTATCTGCGAAGTATGTGTCGATCCTCAAGAGGCTGGAAGAAGCGCCGCGGCGGTCAGATTATGACATGGCTTAGAGGTATGGAGAAGCTGGCTTCAGTTGGTGCAGCCCGCCTTCCAAGTTGGTCCCGAAGGAAGAGGATTGTCGTTAGTTAGAGACGCTAAGAGATATGGCCTAGAATAGAAGTCAGTGGTGCGAATACTGTACGGTCCGCCTACCGAATTTCAGCGTCCCCGTAAAAAAAAACAAGCAACACAAAATATATCAGTGTACGATAAAATACAAAAAAGGTTTTATCCCAGTTATCTACTATTTTCCATTTTAACTGTTTCACCCCTCTTCGCTTCGTTCTGTATCCCAATCCACCTACCCCTTATTATTGTTATTGTTATTATTGTTGGAGTGTTAGCATCATGCTTGTCTACAAGCCGGTGTTAAATATATATATATATATATATTCTATGATCGATAGAATGATTTCAGGCAAGCCCTTAGGACTCGCCTATAAAATATATCAATGTTGTTTTACTTGTTTTTGCTGAAAGAGCGCATGAATGACTGCCGCAGAATTTTATCTGACCATATATATTCGTATTTAATTCTGTTACTTGTAATCAATGGTTCGGTACACTTATTATTTTATATAGTTATCGGTCATCCTTCAGACTTCATCCTCACGCACACTCAGTTCATCCAGTCCACTGTATACTCAAAAAGAACTGGATTCATGTTTCGCTCGTGTTTGGGACCATTAGTTGTACATATCCACCAAACCGTTTGTTATTTGATCTCCAGATTCACAGGAGTGTTGCTATGGTAACCACATACTCGCAGCGTTTGACCAGAATTACCGATTCAACTTTATCCACCTGCCGCATTCAAATGACAGTTAGTTCATTTGACTGAATGATATTGAGTGGAACGAATGAAATATACACTTTGTGAAGATATTGAATCCCTTTGGCATATCGTTTATCATTGCATATTATTGTTTAATTTTTGATTACGTTCGTTTTGTATGTTAGAAAACATTTGATGTGCTTGGGNGAGAAATGTGTATTGTGGCCTCATACTTGTGATACCTCACCTAATGTACTGTCGGAATGAGTTTGTATGCTTCTTTGGTAAGGAAGCATATATCTGATTGCGTAATTGCAAGCGGCATAAAGTGAAAGCATAGAGTGAAATTTATTCTTCGTAAATGGAATATTGCAAGCGGTACGTTGTGATTTAGACATGATTGATTGACAGGCTTCCAAAATGAAACCGATAAAATAATGGAACTGGTTTATTTGCACCCCAGAGATGTCCCACACAGCTTGATGGGTTATATTTNTATATTTATTTCTGTATTACAATTCATTCCCTGTACCACACTGAAAGTATGCGACAATGGTTAGAAATCAATCTAGATCTATTTTCGATCTAAAAATTCGAACACATATGCAAGTGGTTAATAATGCAATTCTGAACCTTATTTATCCTCGTACCTTTCGGCGATAGGAGTTAGCCAATCGGTTCGTCAGCGGTGATATGGGCGTGGATGAATTTCTGCGCGATTTTCTGCCTCTGCGAAAACTTTGCAATGAAAGACGCTTCAAAAGTGAAAAACTCGCGGAAAGTCTTTCCAGCTCCCGTCCGGTTGTACCCAGCAGGCCCACATTAGCGCCGGCTCCGCTTCGGGAACCACCGAAACCCCCGATCCCAGCAGCTTCAATCAACTCCGGATCCGGCTCATTGTATCCTGATTTGTCACAACCAGGCAACACTCCGAATAATAGACCAACCTTTGGCTTCAATATGTAGCTCAATGTGTGCCGTCATGTCACTCTTGTTCCATCATTTTGTTTTAACGAACTTTTTGTTCTCAGTGATCATCGAGACTCCTCAGTTCACCGCGTTCAGCATAACTTATTCCCATAGTGTGTCAGATTACAAAAGCAAACAACCTGTAAACACACATTGAAAGGGACAAAACTCATTGTTTTCTTTTTGCCCTCCGGCCACCAGCAAATTTTTCATTCCCCTTTTCAGATTCTCAGTCACACACATGTTCTACCAACTCACTGTTCAACAACGGTTATGCTTGTTGTCTGCTGCTTGTAGGTTGGACCCATTTCCTGATTCCCATGTCACTGAATTGGGTCCGTGTGACACTAGGTTCATATTTCCACTTGATCAAATGCTAATAGAAGTTGTGCGTGATGACCATTTGTTCCATCTCATTGTTTTCTGACCCTAGTGGTTTGGAAATCCACACTAAAACCGTGTCCCAAAAATATCAGAATATCCGAGACACTGTGGCGTAAGTCCGCCCATCGGTTTAATAATGTACAATATATTAATGCTTTTGTAGCATCATTTTTGCTATCGAAGGTCGATTTCGTGAGTCACGGCTGATGACGAGATCCGTACGAGTGCGATCCAACTTCAGGTCAAGATATACTTTCTGTTGACCAAATAAGTGCCACGGCGTTTCATGTTCCAATTTGCCGTGTTTGGGAGTGTTTCGTGAATCAACAGCTCGAGAAAAAAATAACGACACGAAATGTTCTCGACACGTATCGAATAATTGAATCTAGTCCGGTCCTATACCTGGAAATCCGTGGTCAGTAGTACGTCAAACTGCAGCCGCTTCAGAAAATCACATGGCAGTTTTTTGGGCTTTAAAAAATCCGCAGTTTGTTCAGCACAGAACACAGGACTCGCCGGCCCGCAGTGAGAAATAGTGCCTGTTAGTTCTGCCTGTCAATCTGGCGAATATTGCACCACATCTCTAACCGCTTCACACATTCCTCGATCTCAAAAGGAATGGCGTGCAGGTTCAGTTTCAACAACTGACGGCTCCATTGAGTGACGGCAAATTATAGTAATTAAAACAGACAAGATTCTCCAATCGAGCATTAAACTGCATTGTCAACGATTTACCGGAAAGGTATTAAGTCACCGAACCTGCCGGTAGCAGGGGCTTTTCAGTCCCCTAAAATACCCTTTAGGGACCGTTTTCCAAAATGCTGTTTATACGCTTTATTGTGCGTTGAAACGTTGCTAGATCAGTGGAATAGTTGACGATCAGATCAATTCTATCTCAACATTCACTTACCACATTGATGTACTGTGGCATACCTTTTAATTTTAACCTTGGGTTTGGCCAAATTCTGGTAGGAATTTGATTTGCAGATCATTTGCGAGATGCCCCATTCACATCGCGCTGTCTCGTGGAACCAGCAGACATAGTCTGTACTAGTTTATTCAATCTTGGAAATTATCGGAATATCCAAGTTGTATCCTGAAGTTGAAATCGCGGTGTTGGCGAATGATAATCAATATGATGATGAAGGTGTTTTCCAGAAGTATAACTGTCATTGTTTTTTCTCAATTCCTGCTGTCTTAAAAATTGTTATTACAATGTCTACATCAAACTTTGACCCATCAATGTATGCTAGGTGTTCCAACTACAAAATCCCTAATATTTCATATACTTTGGAATTTATGTGTTCTTCTAAGTGTAAGTATAAAGAAACGCTGCAAGTTTCTACTCGATTTGTTAATTACATTGTGTTAAATGGTGAAAGTAATCCTGATTTCGCAGCTCAATTGATTTAATTCACACATGATTTCGATAGCGATTGATTGTAGATTATTATTTTATGTGAAATATATGCACTTACATTTGCGTAACGTATCGTACACCTTATACGTTATACGTACTCAGTTTTATCGTTTATTATTGAACAATACTTTCTACTGTATGCATTGAATTACTTCATATAGGATCATCACGTGCCCATTATGGCTTTGAGGAACCTTTCAGCAATGACTTATCATGTGACATTACAGATAATTAGTTCTTTGTACTTAATTTCACGTATTTCGTAAACCGATGTGATTCAAAGTAATGCTCCAGATGACTCATTGGTTGACATATGCCGCGCCATTGTCATTGACGCCAAACTGTCGGTCAGTGCAACAAAGATAATGTTTCGTCGTTTGTGA